GTTCATCATAAAGAGTCCCTCTTTCTCCATAAAGTCGGCCAGCTGCTGGCCCCTTCGGTTCCGTTGGCCTATTCCAAATTTCCCTAACTTCAGCTCACCGTTTTCTCTTGTGCCTAGTTTTGCGTTGAAGTCTCCCATCAACACCGTGTAGTGGGTTTTGGAGGAATGCATGGCTTTGGAAATATCCTCATACATTTCCTCCACCTCCTCATCGGAATGTGCCGAGGTTGGTGCGTAAACCTGTATGACCTTCAGCGAATACCGTTTGGTGATTCTGAGTATCAGGTACGCGACCCTCGTCGACACACTCCCAATCTTTACAACGTTGTTGACGAGAGACTTGTGGACGATAAATCCGACACCTCCTTGGGACAGATGGTCGCCCTCCCGGTGATAGAACAAGTTGCCGGATTCGAGAATCACCGTGTCCTCCCCCTCTCTTCGGACCTCGGATAATCCTATAATACTCCAGCGCAACTTGTCTATCTCTTCTTCCAGCTCCAGGATCTTCTCGTCAGTCCTCAGTGTGCGTGCGTTAAATGTTGCCAGGTCGAGTCGTCGTAGGTGGCAACCACCGTCAATATGAGTACCCAAAATAAGTTGCGGTATCAACACAACCGGTACAATAGCTTAATAACAATAATACTAGTATTTTTTCATGATAGAGTCAATAGCTGCATTACAAATGGGTAGGCTAGTCTTAACCCAGTCAAGCCAACCCATTCTCTCACCACACTCTCACAGAACACCAGTGTAATACAATAATGCTACTGTGTTTAGTATGGTGTGTGTAGAGAAACGGAGTAGACCCTTTTTACTGGTAACAAAGTATTCCACGTTAGTCATCAGGGATCACAATCCATCTGTATTTTGATTCTCAATAGATGATAGATTTAGATGTCTATGAGCTACTATAGCATCCACTGTGACTGTCTCGTTGGTCTAGTGATTGTAGTAGTGCGACTGCTGATCGTGAGGTACTGGGTTCGAATCCCGGGTCGGGCCCACACAATTAATTATTGAGTTTCACACAATCAAATATTGAGTTCCGTCAAGAAATTCTCAGAAGCTGCCCGGAGTCAGGAAGTTGGCGGTGTCTCACCCCCGTGCCTCAGAAAGCACGTAAAGCCGTTGGTCCTGCGCCTGATCTATCTCCGGTCGTGTCGGTTTACCGTCCCATCGGATTATGAGAGTGAGGGAATAGAGAGTGCACCTGTACTTGCGCATACACTTAGGCACTATAATCCTGTCCTGCCCCGATGGCTAGTCTTCGTTGAGGCAGGCCGCCGTGGCCGAAATTCGGTCTGGAGGACATTATTACTATAGCATCCACTTACCATCCAGTGGACAGTGTATTCGCTTGCCACCCTTATCTGTAATGCATTTTTCTTATAGTATGGGGGAAAAACTAACACACAGTCCACCTGATGGTAAGTAAATGCTGTGACATCTACTCTTATCTTCGATACAACATACAACATGCACATGCGTTTTCACCCCTGAAAACTACTATGGAACGCCTCGTTTCCAATAAAAGGTGTCTCCAGTTCTCTACACTCAACATACGAATACTACAACAGAAATATAGTTACGGCGTAGCTCTATCGCGTAATGTGCCACGCATTGTATGTATATTTCTATAGTATATGCTCAGTTCTATGACTTTTGATGGGCTGTATTTAATGAAAATGGGTGATTGAAAAAGTAGTTAAAATTGAACGATATAAAATCCGTAAAATTAGTTTTATTCAATGTAGTATTATTGTATTTAGGACTAAAAACGTTCCAAATAAGAAGGGTCTCCGGTACTTTACTTTCATCATACTGAAATACAGTAGGCATAAGATGATTTCATTGTCATTTTAAGCTCGTATCCCAAGTGAGCACGGCCCTTCCCGCTCAAACTAAAACAATAGTGCTGCGGTTATAACTAGCTGATCGGTGACTACCGTGCATTACCATACGTTATACGTACAATAAACTAAGCATATCTGTTACAGTTTGGTAGTTTACATTTCCAAAAATTTTACTGCTTATCATAGGGGCAACACAAATAACGGGCGAGCTCTTGATGGACTCCATAGCTTGACAGATGGATTGGCAACCGCATATTTTTTTTTAGGTTTTTTTTATAAAATAAAGGCGACAAGCGAGCATACAGCCTACGAGATGGTAAGTAGATGCTGAGAACCATAGACATCTACATCTATCCTCAATTAAAAATCAAAATGCAGATGCGTTGTCATCCCTAATGACTAAGATAGAATGCCTTGTTTCCAGTAAAAAGGGTATCCGGTTCTCTATACTCACCATATGAAACGCAGTTAAGCTGCTATTTTCAGCTGATATTCTGTGAAAATATGAAATTTCCCGATTAGGCCGACACATTCGTGCTAGCGTTGCTTTACCATCTATAAAATTCTGTTGGCTCCGACTAGCATACGAACCCGTAACTCTGATCGTTTGCTACCTGGTCGACAAAGAGTGATAGATGATAACAATTGCTGTATGACTTACTATTCGTCTATATCCTCTATTATATAAATTAATATATGTGTTTAGAACTGTAATATAGTTTGTCGATGTCCGATGCTAAACACAGGCCTCCCCTATAGATTTTTGCATAAGGGAGATATTTGCCATAGTTGCCACACTTGGGAGGTTGTTGAGTTATTAATTATTATCGCTTCAATGCTGCTATCAATTTCACGGGACACATACGAGGTGATGATATAGAAAAGTGGGTTCCTTTACGCCGTCCACCAACACGGCGAAATAAAATTTAAAATTACAAGAATTATAATATATTATCTGTACTATATGGTAGGTATACATATATGATATATACTTTAGCTTTATTATATCAACTAGCTGTTGCCCGCGATTTCGTCCGCGGGGAATTGATTACGATTGATAATTGATAGAATCAGGCGTTACTTTGCGGAAATCCATTATAATAAAAATATTAATTACCTTGCAACCTTCCGCCAACCAAATAAAATGATGTGTCTTACCTGGATTGAAGAGCACCTCCCACCCTCCCTCAATGTGAAAAACACGTGTTTCGCCTCTACACGAGGCATCTTCAGATGATGTAGACTCTACGGCGGCTGACCGCTAAGCGGTGTAGCAGCGGGTGCTGGGACTAGTGGTGACAGAGTTAGTGCATGCAATTGAGGGAGGGCGGGAGGTGCTCTTCAGTCCAGGTAAGACACATCATTGTATTTATTTAGCGGAAGGTTGCAAAGTAATTAATATTTTTATTGATTACGATTTACTTTTATGGGTTTTACCTAAGTTTTTTTGCGCGGAGCATAAAAGTATCCTAAGTTAGGTATGTACTTCTTATAACATCAGCTATCAGTTAGTGAAAGTCCCGTCAAAATCAGTCCAGCCATTTTGGATATTAGCCGGTATAAACAGACAGACAGATTGATGATTTCTTATATTTACGCGAACACTACACATTGATTAAAACTACTTTTACGGATTTTATCGCGTTTATTTTAGGTACTATTATTTTTAATTCCCGAAGTTTCGGGAAAGCGCCCGTATAATATAAAAATAGTAGTATATAGGTAAGTAAAAATAGTAAAATAAACGCGATAAATCCGTAAAAGTAGTTTTAGTCAAAGACAGACACATTGACAAAAATTATAAATATTATTTTTGTTATAAGTGCCGTATATACCTACCTACTTTCATATGCATTTAGCAAAATGCTGTTATTTTGACATTAAAAACAGACACTTCAAGTGTATTTACTTGCATCATCATCATTATCATCATTATAGCCCTTCACAAGTCCACTGCTGAACATAGGCCTCCCCCAAGGAATGTCACAAAGCAGGGTCCTGAACCACCTGCGTCAATCGACTTCCTGCACGTCTTACCAGGTCGTCACTCCATCTAGTGAGGGGTCGCCCTACACTTCGCATACCGGTACGAGGCTGCCACTCGAGAACCTTTTTTCCCCAACGGTTGTCGGTTCTTCGTGCTATATGGCCAGCCTATTGCCAACTTGCATAGATTTCAATAAATTTGATTTAATTAGATACGTACCTACTTAAATCGTTACAATTTTTAATAAATAACATTTTAAGTAGGACGTCCTTTGAGGGTCAAAAAGGAAAAAATATGTTCGGTATACGATCAATGTTTGCAATAGATAAAGTAACATAAGTACTATACTATGAAAAAGTGGTTTACTATTGCTAGAATATTGAACAATTTTTTTAATTTCATACAGTATTTTGAACGAGGGATCTAAAATTTAAAATAATATGTTTAGGGTCAAAGATTTCCAGATAGCGAAGATATCGAAACAGCGGGCCGCACTCGTTTCACCCAAATAAAAGAGTGCGAGCAACGCACGTGAAGGCGGTCGATCTGCACCAACACGACCAACACGCCCCCAGTCAAAACATCGCGCCGGAACGGAACAAGCCGAGACTAGAGACGCAACCGAAAAATCCTGGCTCTATAATTACGTTCGGCTACCCGATCTACCGGCGAGGCAATTTAAATTTACTGCGAACACCGCACGTGTCCTACAAAATGAAATCCCACTACTGCGCGCTACGCACAAAAAAAGCTAGGAAAGTATACATCGCTGGCGCCACCCCTTGATCGCTAGTGGCCACTCGCGCCAACCACGCCTGCTTCTGATCGCTACTATCTCCATCTCACTCTGTTATGTAAGCTACCCGTAAGCACGTCCCTGTTCAGTGTGTGCTACACGAAAAAAGCTATAGCTTTTTGTTCAGTACGCGTTTGGATAGCGCGCGTTACGGAGTGTCAGACGGTGACTCCGCGCGTAAGTCGCGGTGTGTCAAGTGTAGTGCCGTGTAGAGGTGCCGAAGTGGCGGGTTTCCTTGCCTCAGGACGGGGGGCCCATGCCCCCTTCCACCAACACCACATTGGTAAAAGTCAGTGTCGGTTTGTTGGAAACTAATTTTTTTCCTCCGACGTTGTGGACGGAACTGTGAATGTGAATTGCGATGCCGACGTATGGAGGTTGTTTTGTTTGCTTTTTTATTTACTTTTTAATTATTTGCTTGATGATACATATTTTTATGTTAATATCCTACTGTTTAATTTAGTTACTGGTTAACGGTTTAAACTGTGTTGCGAAAGAACCTATTCCTTATTAGCTACTAATATAGTAGTCACTGAAACCTATTGTGCTTAGTCAATTTATCGTCTGTATTTGTTTTATTACGATATACATCTGTTAATAATGTAGTTAATCACCTGTGTATGAGACTTCCTACATTATCATCATATTTATGTGACTATATTATCCTCGTTATAAGATTAAGCAAAGTCTTATACAATTTTTTCTATTGTTTGCAGACAAAAAAGCAAAGTAAGTTATAAAAGCACAGCTACTAACGATAATATTTATTAGGCCTAACAGAAACGCGTTAGGCCTAAAAACTCCCATAAAAATAAAACATACAGGGACATGTGGCTATACGTTGTAGCTACATTTACTTTATAAAAGCAGAACCTGTTTCTTTCACCTCAAAATTACAGATAAAAAATATTTTTATTTACAACTATAGCTGGTACCCGGCGCATTACTGCCGCAGAAGAAATAATAGCCGAAATATCGTTTATCGTGTATCGAATTTGTAGAAACAAATTCATTGAAATTGAATGATATATGACTTTTAAATAACTTTCTCTGTACGACATACGTATCTACGTCGTATACGTAATATAAAATTAACTTACAGTAGATATATATACTATATATATCTACTGTAAGTTAATTTTACTATGCCTAGGTATAATTTTCGCACAAGTGCAAGCAATAAGTTGACAAAGTTTCAGCGCAATCTGATAATCGATATGGCAGCACATAACATACAAACAAAAAAACATAGTTGTTTATATAGGTGTTAGATTAAATTAGAGATGATACGTAAGTTTGTAAGTTTATTTGTATAATTATCAAATGAATTTATTTGAAACAAAAAGAATGCAGATCTTGGATAGTGGTTACTGTTAGTGGTACTTAGTTCAAGCGTTATTAACTAATTTAAAATCGGTCTTTTTATCATAACGAAATTTACATGCAATAGTTAGATATGGTAAAATTCTTAAAATAAAAAACTATTAATTTCACGTAAAAAAGGTCTTATCATCTCATATAGTTTTGTTGTAAATGCTGTTGAAGGAAAAACAATTACAAAAAGGAGTACATGTTCCTATACATAGTTTTATGGAAAAAAAAGAAAAAAGGAAAATTATTTTGAATTAATTTTGCATTAAAACTTCAAAGATAAAATATAAAAAGCAAGTACAATTTTATGTGAAACTTCAGGCTAAAAAAATCTTTGAAACTTTGTTATATCTCTTATGGTTTACGAGATAATCATTAAAACTATTTATTTTATTGTTTTTCGATTTCACAAACAAATCTTCCATGTTTTTCTCATTGCTTTCTATGTGTTCAACCCAATCGCTTGTTTCATTACAATCGGTTCAGCAATTCCAAAGATTCGCCTGGGCGAAGAGACACACAAAACTTTTAAAAAATTTTTTGATATTAAGCGAAAAGAGATTAGAATGTAAAAAGACGGCTGGAAGCTTACTGGATAAGGCTCTCTAGCAATTCGTAGACTGGTCTAATTGGCCAACTAATACGTCGTAGGTACTTTGTCTTTTCTCCCTATGTCAAATATCAGAAACTTTTTACTAAGCAAAAAATATCATTCAATAAAAGATACAAAATTATAATGCTTCCTTTTCTTCCAAGTATTTTTGTTCTGTTAAAAAAAACCTAAACCGTTGAGTAGAAAACTCAAAACAGTAATATTTCCTAATCCAAGACGGCCAGCAACATTTCGTTAATATAAGAGTCAAAAGCTGTATTGACTTCTTAAAAAGGTAAGTACTAGGTAAACCCAAATGGATTAAGCATGATGCCACGACGTTAAATCTCTTAAAGTACAACTTTGATCTCTTTTTTTTAACCCACAAAACGCTAGAGAATCTGTTATTTTTGTAAAGCATTAGACATGATTGTAATAAACAAAGCGCCTACTATACGAGTATGTAAGACACTTATCTCTTTTGTTTGTGTACTCGTGCCAAAAGTTTTTTAAATTAACTATAGCTTTTTAAATTATATAAAAAACTTATCTAACACTTAGCTAGTTCGTTGAAGATACCCGTTGATAAATAAAAGTACTGTGGAACTAAATTTGTGTTGTTCTTTTGGATATTTTAGACCCGTTGTAATTTTTTATCAAAGTAAAAAACACTTTGTAGTTTTTTAAAAACAAAAACACGCTGAAATGACTCTACTTTGCTCTATCAAAAAAGGACCTATAGATTTCACATAATTCCGCTGTAAAATAGCAACATAATGCTGCTGTGATTCTTGTCATTACTAAAAAGACCGAGAAACTGACTAGGGACAGTCATATTATTTTAGTACTCAGATTGACAAATCATCTGCATTTTGATTTTTAATCGACGATAGATAAAGGTCTCGATGGGTGGACCATTCCTTCATCATTAGGTGGACTGCTCTCATTTGTCGCACGTATCTATGTGTATAAAAAAGATTGATATTAACTTATTAAAAATATTATTTATTACTGTTGTGAAAATCAAAGTGTATATTTTTATAACAGTCATTAATAATTTGTTACGATTTGTCTTTACTCTGTGTTTTTCTGTTTGTAATATAAAAATAACAGCTTTTAACTAAATTCATATGAAAGTATATAAGGTATGTACCTACTTATAACAAAAAAAACAATTTTTAAGATTTTTGTCCGCCTGTCAGTCTGTCTATTTATTCCGGCTGATCTCCAAAATGGCTGAACCGATTTTAACGGAGCTTTCATTGGCAGATATCTGATATTATAAGGAGCAACTAAGGATATTTTAATGTAGAAAAACAATTAGAGTTCCGCGCACAGAATTCAAATACCCATGAAATCCAACCGTAATAAATTCCTTGCGGACGAAGTCGCGATAACACACAATAAACTAGTTTTCAATTAATAATTTTAATTTGTGAGTAACTACGGTTAACTATGAGATCAAGAGTCCAAGACCTCAGTCCCCCCCACCCGTGACCATGAGTGCTGTAAAGTGCTCGAAACGTTGGAAATTTAAAAAAGTTAATATACGCGATAAAATCCGTAAAAACTAGTTTTATTTAAATGTGTAGTGTTCGCGTAAATATAAGAAATCATTAGTTTTTAAAAGAGTTTTGTAAGAATTCCATTCGCACTGGTATAGCGCAACTTATAAAAATTTTGGTTCCTCTAAAAATCTATCTAATAAAAGTCCATCTAAAAAGGTCATAGCGTTCTATAATCCAGTCCTGAGATGTTTAATATCACATCCTAGAATAATTATAACTGCATCATAATTACTGTAAAAAATTCTGTAAAAAATCCTGTTTTTTAGCCTTTTCTGCTCTCATATTGTTCATCATTTGCCAGTCATATTTATCATAGAGAGTCAAGTTTATGAAGTAAACGTTTGCGATAAATAATAATCAAATGTAGTTAAATGAAGATACACCTCATACCGTAAATTATTTGATAAGACGGAATTGCAGCGTAAAATCATACAATTTTATCATTTTAAGTTATCTAGAGTTGTTTTTTAATTATTAAAATTACTGACACAATGGTATATGTATATATTTAGTTAATAAATATATTTTGTTTTAGAAAATTATCGTTAACCTGCGTAAAGATGGCTTTTTAAAATTTTTTTTGCTTGTTTCTGTTACGGGTAATACTCTATGAAGTAGTAAGGCTAGGTTTACTACTACAAGAAGCTGGTTCTTAGTTAGTCTGAATAATAATTAAAATAACTATGACTGCCATTAAATTTGTCAAAAATACGAAAAACATAGATATCATGTAATATTAGCAACAGTAGGCCACCGTGGTCCTTAGATCACCTCAAAGACGCAGACATTTATGCTATTTATAAATTATTCAGATTATACCCAAAAGCTAGGTAAACCTTAGTTTACTAATTCAAGTAATCCTCAGAGCTTATAAGAAGTTAAGTATCTCTGTACTACAGATGTATACTACACTATATACATATACCTACTATATATACTCCATTCTATTTTTATGTATATATATTTATGTTTGTTAGATATAACTATTATTACTTTACATAAGGTTTACTTATTATTATTTCCCCTTGACATATAATATCTTGCTAAGTATATAAATTTACTACAACCCATATATTCCCATATATTTATACGTGTTAGAGCCATGCTACAGTTATATTAGTAGTATAGTTGTAGCACGAATAGGTCGGCTCGACCGGGGAAAGACCACGCTCTTACGGAATACCAGCGTAAAATAGTAGCTTAATGCTGCTGTGTTTCGTATGGTGAGTGTAGAGAAACGAAGGCCCTTTTTACTGGAAACGAGGCATTCCATCATAGTCCTCACTGGTGACAACTGCATTTCAATTCGTAATCGAGGATAGATATAGATGTCTATGGGCGACAGCAACCACTTACTATAAGGTGGACTGTGTGCTCATTTGTCACCCTGTCCAATAAAATAAATTCATACCTTGGGAGAGGCCTTTGTTAAGCAGTAGATTGAATTGGACTGCGATGAATGTGATTGAATGCAATGGATGATTATAATTACATGTCATATTATATATAAGTATTGTTTATTTACAAAATTTAAAGTGTACTTGACTAAACTAATCCAAAATCTTAAAACAAAGTATTTTTTCATGTTAAGTTTTCTATACTACAAAAATATAGAGCATGCTTAAACAATAATCTATTCCCTTTATAGCCTTCAATTTATCATTATATTCGCAGTATTATCTATCCCCAATGTTCCAAAATGCGATTATTATTGTTTTGATGTCGAACCAACTGGTTTTTTTTTTTTCAAAGATGTAGGTCTCTAGATTTACGATAAAGCTTTGATTAGTAAATGTTGCGATACGTTGTGAGTCATAACGTGTTAAACTCGCGCTAAAATTCACAA